CCCTTCCCTTGTTTATTGTAAGCCGCCCGGAGTCCTTCGGGAGTGGGCGGCATACAAGACCAATAAACATCAACATCAACATCAAACATGTTGGGTTCAATTTTGATCGTAAGTCAAGGACTACCTGTATATAAACAAGGGATTTGCAGCTGTGGATTGCTTTGTTTTCTAGACGCAACAATGACAGAAAACACTTACCCAACACGTTGGTGTTTATGAGAATGTTAAGCTGGTGTTTCAGGTCTGCTAGGCTGAGATTGAGGCTCCGAACTCCACGCTCCAGGATGCCCAGCCCGTGGTTGGCATTAAAATTCTTGTCCTGGGTGGCTGTCAGCAATCCCTCCAGCTGGGTCAGTGTTTCTGTTATATCAGCTATCTCCTGCCTGATCAGAGCAAGAGGGAGACATGAAATACCTCCCCCCCAAGACTTGTTAATCCAATGGGATGCTTTTTCTTTAGGGACTAATTTAAGATGTGTGGACCTCAACTCCCAGAATTCCCTAGCCAAGCTGGCTGTAGTATTCTGGGAGTTGAAGTCCACACACCTTAAAGGGGACAAGTTTGAGAAACATTGAAATAGAGAACGACAAGAAAGCTTTATATCCAGAAATTCTTCAGATGCATATCAGTCTTGGAAGAGCTACCGCCAGTAGGAATATTATTTTGGTGGTAGATGATATAAATCCAGAAAGAGGTATTTAGCAGGTTCTGACCAGTTCTGAAGAACCGGTAGCGGAAATTTTGAGTAGTTTAGAAAACCGGTAAATACCACCTCTGACTGGCCCCGCCCCCATCTATTCTCTGCCTCCCGAATCCCAACTGATCGGGAGGAAATGGAGATTTTGCAGTATCCTTTCCCTGCCATGCCCACCAAGCCATGCCGTGCCCACTAACCCACGCCCACAGAACCGGTAGTAAAAAACTTGAATCCCACCACTGGTCTATAGGTAAAGGTAAAGGTTCCCCTCGTACGTATGTGCTAGTCGTTCCTGACTCTAGGGGGCGGTGCTCATCTCTGTTTCAAAGCCAAAAAGCTAGCACTTTCTGAAGACATCTCCATGGTCATGTGGCCGGCATGACTAAACACTGAAGGTGCACAGAACTGGAAATTTTGAGAAGTTTGGAAAACCAGTAAATACCACCTCTGGCTGGCCCCGCCCCCCATCTATTCTCTGCCTCCCGAGTCTGGAGGTTTTAAAGAAGAGACTGGACAGCCACCTGTCTGAAATGTTATAGGATCTCCTGCTTGAGCGGGGGCCTGGACCTGGTCCTTTCCAACTCCATTCTGATTCAGTTTAGTGGAAGTTGGGGCTGGGCTGCCTTTTGACTTACCGTATATCATCCATATTATGCAAGAGGTGAGCAATCGCAGTGGCGGTGGCATTGCGAGCGCTGACCACAGCCTGGATGGCACTCAGTTTGTCCTGCAGCCGACGGAAGGGACCCTCGAAAGCGCCAGCAAGCCCCGTTTGGTGGAGCTGTTGAGCCCTCTGCATCAGGTTGCGAGTGTGGGCAGCCAGATCTTGCACAATGCGATCCCAGTCTCCAAAACATTGGTGGCAGGGCTGGCAGGCAGGGAAATCGCCAGCAAAACCACGGGAGCACTGGTCACAGCGCACGCCAGACACCCCCGGGCGGCAGGAGCAATGCCCAGTAGTCCGGTGACATTGCGGCTTCTCAATCCCACGTGGATCACAATCGCAGGCTGCCAAAAACAGACAAGAAGCTTAGCCCACCATCTCTGCTCTTCTACACAGTGCCCCTTAGCAAGCTAAATTCAGCAGGGCTGCATTATTCCAGAAATAATTCCTTTAACAAGTTGAACTGAACCTCAGACATCAAAGCCATTTTCCCATTTTGCATATTTGCAGTAGTGGGCTTCAAATTTTTTAACAACCAGTTCTCTACACTAATGACTGGCTGGCTGGGTGTGGCCGGTTCGGGCTGATTCGGGCTAATCCCACCACTGGCTGGCCCCGCCCGTCTATTTTTCAGGTCATTTTCCGGCTGTTTTTCAGGTCATTTTCAGGGCTGTTTTCAGGGCCTTTTTGGGAGTGTGTTCTGGGCTGTTTTCCGGCTGTTTTGGGGGGCCTTTTTTCAGGCTGTTTTGGAGCCATTTTCAGGGCTGATTTCAGGGAGTTTTTCAGGTTATTTTCTGGGTTGTTTTCTGGCTGTTTTCCAGGCCTTTTTCCAGGCTGTTTTCAGGCCATTTTCTGGGCCATTTTTGGACCATTTTTCAGGACATTTTCCAGGCTGTATTTTGGTCGGGGTCGGGGCCAGCCATTTGTGGGATTAGCAGGTTCACTAAACCGGGCAGAATTTTAACAACTGGTTCACCCAAACCAGTCCGAACCGGCTGCCGCCCACCTCTGCAAACAGGTAGTCAGTCCTCAACTCACAACTCATGTATTAAGTGACCATTCACAGTTACAATGGCGTTGAAAAATGACTAGTCCTCACACTTATGACTGCTGCAGCATTCCTAGAGTCATATGATCAGAATTATGTAAATTGATGAAGGTTTTATGTTTTGTTTGTCTTTGTTTGCCCAAAAATAAAAAACTTTTACAAAAAAAAAAAAAAAAAAGAATTTGGACGCATGGCCACCAGCATCTATTTACAACGATTGCAGCATTCCAGGACACATGATCACTTTTTCATCTTTCTTGCCAGATTTCGACAAGCAAAGTCAATAGG